TTTTTTTTTAAGACAAAGACAAATGCGAATTTTACTTCCTTCCAACTTCAAATTTGACATCAAGACGCGCCGAAAGTTGCGTATTATCCGTTTGGAAAGCGCTTTTGCTATGTGCCACTTTAACTCCACCATCAACAGTCGTTTTACTATCGTGACTACGCCATAGATTCGCAAGGGCCTCCAGAGCTATTTCTGTTTTGCGTTCTTGATTATTATGATCAGCGGATAATGTTATGTCAAATTGACGTCGAAATCGTTGAAAACATAGCTTTCCTGGAAGACTTCCTTTAAGCGAATTCTCTGGCCAAGCTTGACAACACAATAAGCTTATAATTGCAAGAAAAGCAGTAATTGTTTTTCTCATATTTGTTCAGATTACTAAAGTTTCCTTCACTTATATTAAAAAATAACGAGTAAATACACATACATACAATTGTGTTTATGTATTTGGAGGGCTTATCGCAAACGCTGATAACAATTGAGTCTGCTATAATCAAAATATTAATGTTGAGTATTTGCTGTAATAAATTATTTTTACATTTGTACGTGTGTATATAATATCTGGAAAAGCAACTAATTTGTTCTTTAGTTCCATTCAATGAATATTAAATATCTATGTATATACAGATATAAAATGAATACCAATTAAATTTTTCTCTTCTTTCTATAATCATGATGCACATGTAAACGTCCTGAAAAGTGTGTATTTCCCATGTGCTGTGAACTAGTAGTATGTACTACTTTAGCGGCTCCTTCAATTTGCGTTTTACTGTCAGCACTGCGCCACAGATTGGCTATAGCTTCTAAAGCTATTTCTGTTTCGTCTTCCTTGTCATCATGTTCAGCAGACAAATTTATATCAATTTGACGTCGAGCTCGATTTAAGAGTTGCAATTGCAAATCAACAACTTCCTCTATTGGTAATGCAGCACAGAATGTAATTGTAACGCTAAAAAATAAAAACCATAAGATTGGTATTGATTTCGAGTCCATACTAGTTTGAAACAATCAGTGTAAGTGTTAAGTGGATACTTGAAATTGAGAAAAAAATTATGCGTGTTATTTCTGCTGCTAATCGTTTCACTGATAACCGCTGACTAAATTACTGGCCGCGACAATCCATGCCAATATGCAATGAAGCAAGACATTTCAATGAGACATATATGTATGTACATATATATATTCAAATATAAGAAACTAATCAAATAAAATTACATACCTAAAATTTTATCTTGGGTTTTATGAATACAAAATAAGCAATTGCTTTTTCTTCAAATTTAAGTAAAAGGTCAGAAATTTTAAGAAAAAGGAATTGCTTAGTTTTTATTCATAAGGCCCATTATCATCGCTTAAAGCAAATATGTACAACTGACTTCAATCCGATATTGTAGACCGACTTTGAGACTACACCATAAAAAATCGCAAAAAACATACATATGTATGTATTATAGTGGTTAAAAACAAAAATGTCCGAGAAAGGGTTTGGGGCCCCTTCCAAAATTGTTCCCCTTGGCGAAAGAGGTGCTGGTACCAAACTTAACAATTCTAACTGCCCAATTCTGTGTTTTCTTGATAAATTATTTGTAAAGAAATTTTATCAAGATGTTTATAAAGTAAAAGCTTCCATCGCATTCTGTGTCAATATTTATAAAATAAAAAACTACGATTTCCACATGAGGAGAACTGATTTCATTGTCACATATGAAAAATATAAATTTAAAAGCAAAAAAGCCCTTATGAGTATAATAGTGTTAAAATGGCTTAACTATTTTGTAGAAATTTTGCAACTTTTGAAAACATCTATATGTGAGCAGTGAAAAAGTCGTCAAATTTTGCAAAGTTGTAATAAAACTGCATTTTTGTGAATTAGTGTAAATGATTTGCAATTGTTAATATATGTATATCAAAAGAAAGGTAGAGTTCATACTTAAATTTTTTCTAATAATTATAGTTAAAACTTTTTTTTCAAAGGTTTGAAATACGGGCTTGCATCGATATACCTTTCTTTTGATTATAATGTAATCGATTTACCTTTCTTTTGATTATAATATTGTAAGAATCGCTTAACTTCAATCTAGTATTCTATCATTCTTGATTTTCCCACGCCATCCTAAATTACTTATCATTATCGCGTATTACCCGGTTCCCACGGCTACATTCTTAATTCGATTTGACAATTATCTGTCTCTGTTTTGTTTTTGTTTTTCTTCGCTGCAAAATTTATGCAAAATGTACGTTCTTCCTAAAAATTTATAAGTTTTGGTATTAAATTAAGGATATGATAAACTTTATAACTTACGTAATTCGAAGGGTGATTGCGAGTGCGAATTACGAATGAGAGAGCGAGTTTCGAATTTGAGGTGGCGGGAGAAAGCCTTACTATTTGCTCGTTGTTTCGTACTTCTAAAAAACAACATTGAGCTAAGGGAGTATCAAAACAAGTTTCACTACGTACAACACCTAAAGTGTATATGTGGCAACACTGATCCACGTTCACATGTGTTGACGTTCCTAGTAGAGTTAAAAAACTATCGATAGTTGAACCGTTCGATCTTTTCGATAGTTTTGGGCCTCACCATTCGATAGTATCGACACTGTCGTTAAGGGCCGGTTGTTCAATGTCTGGTTATCAGTACTTGCCGGTTAAACATCATTATCGACGTTTTCGATATCATGCATATAACATGTGATCGATAAAGCAGTCTTTGTATTTAACCGGAGCTTCTACCTCCGATTTGTGCTAATCAGACATTGAACAAGCGGCCCTAAGGGCGGGTTGTTCAATGTTGGTTATCACCATGAACCAAAAATACAAGATCACGTAAGAACGCGACGTTGTATTTGTAACTGGTTTTGAGAAAAAAGTTTGCGAAAGCGGGTTCGTCAGCTGAGCGTTTGTTTACATCACAAGCACCACTATTTTACACTTTTATTCAAGTAAAGAAGAGTTAATTCAACATGACAACACATTTTAAAGCATTTTGTTGCATCATTTTACCTAAATTGTGCGTTTAAAGTGGCTGACAATAATTTTGGCTAATTTTGGTTTTCGTTGGTTTGTTTGCTTTGTTTACTTTTCGCTCGTCTTCCAGTGAAACAAGATGGCGTGGAACCCGCTAAAAAAATCGACTTTTTTTCACTCTCTTGTTCTTACGTGATCTTGTGTCTTTCGTTCATGGGAACGAGCATATATTTCTGTTGCAAACCTGGGTTGCCTTGTGCTCTTTTTTCACAAAAAACTTTAGGAAACCGTAGTAGAAAGCGTAGTAAATTTCTTAAGAACTGCGTACTGCCTTAAGCCCTGTATGCAGCTCTCAAGAAAACGGTCAAGAAAAAGGTGCCATTATTTCGTGTGTGTGTCCAAGGAATTTTGACATTTTTGATACCTCACAGGCTGTTGCCTCAAGCTGAAATTAGTCGAGAACGCAGAACGTATACTTAAACGCAGTCTGTATACGCAGAATTTTGTCGATTACTGGAGCCCTCAGTGTTGCTTACTATACTGTTGCCACTCTTCAATGCCTTTTCATAAACTTACCCTTTCAACCACAATTTTTCGTGCTATAATAGATTGTAACTAAATATAAACTACTTAGTTTTCAACAAAAACCTTATTTAATAGTAAATTTCAAATATTTTAAACATATTTCGAATAGGAACTTATAACTTTTTTACCATCTGCAAAACTGACGAAGTGGCAAGCATCTAAAGAAGGAGAAATCAGCTGACACGGAAAAATCTAAATTCCGCAGATTTCTCCGATACGCGCTACAACTACAGAAAAATTCTGCGGTGTTGAGTTTTCATTTACATGGCGCTTTGGTAAGACAGATCGTGTCAGCTGACTCGGGTTTACGTACCGGTAGGTTTACGTTCTTGACTAATTTCAGCTTCACTCTTTCCTCAAGAAGTAATGGAACGGGCATATATTTCTGTTGCAAACCTGGGTTGCCTTGTGCTCTTTTTTCACAAAAAAACTTTAGAAAACCGTAGTAGAAAGCGTAGTAAATTTCTTAAGAACTGCGTGCTGCCGTAAGGAAATTTGACTCAAGAAAATTTCTTAGCCATTTCTTGTACGTCATTTTATATGGAGTTTTTGCTTTTCTTGAGAGCTGCATACAGGCCTTTAAGGAAATTTGACTCAAGAAAATTGCTTAGCCATTTCTTGTACGTCATTTTATATGGAGTTTTTGCTTTTCTTGAGAGCTGCATACAGGCCTTTAGCCATTTCTTGTACGTCATTTTATATGGAGTTTTTGCTTTTCTTGATAGCTGAATACTGGCCTTAAGTCCTGTATGCAGCTCTCAAGAAAACGGTCAAGAAAAAAATGCCATTATTTCGCGTGTGTGTCCAAGGAATTTTCACATTTTTGATACTTCACAGCCTGTTGCCTCACTCTTTCCTCAAGAAATAATGGAAGGGGCATATATTTCTGTTGCAAACCTGGGTTGCCTTGTGCTCTTTTTCACAAAAAAACTTTAGAAAACCGTAATAGAAAGCGTAGTAAATTTCTTAAGAACTGCGTACTGCCGTAAGGAAATTTGGCTCAAGAAAATGTCTTAGCCATTTCTTGTACGTCATTTTATATCGAGTTTTTGCTTTCTTAAGAGCTGCATACAGGCCTTAAAGGAAATTTGACTCAAGAAAATTTCTTTGCCATTTCTTGTACGTAATTTTATATGGAGTTTTTGCTTTTCTTGAGAGGTGCATACAGGCCTTTAGCCATTTCTTGTACGTTATTTTATATGGAGTTCTTGCTTTTTTTGAGAGCTGCATACTGGCCTTAAGCCCTGTATGCAGCTCTCAAGAAAACGGTCAAGAAAAAATTGCCATTATTTCGCGTGTGTGTCCAAGGAATTTTGACATTTTTGGTACTTCACAGCCTGTTACCTCACTCTTTCCTCAAGAAATAATAGAACGGTCATATATTTCTGTTGCAAACCAGGGTTGCCTTGTGCTCTTTTTTCACAAAAAACTTAAGATAACCGTAGTAGAAAGCCTAGTAAATTTCTGAAGAACTGCGTACTGCCTTAAGGAAATTTGACTCAAGAAAATTTCTTAGCCATTTCTTATACGTCATTTTATATGGAGTTTTTGCGTTTCTTGAGAGCTGCATACAGGCCTTTAAGAAGTAAACAACGAAGAGAACAAAAAAAAACGCGTAATTGTTGAACGCATGAATAATCATTTTTACTATGCAAATTCTTCTATAAATCATGCCGTTGGGTTAAATTATTCTTTACCTTATGTGTGCACAGGTTGTCACAAGCGAAAATTAAGAAAATTGCAGTAAAAAGTCACCACCAAATTTTAAACAACGAACAAATGTTAATAAACGGCTAATGTCAAAGTCGTCCAATTTTTTTCCTAAATGCGATTATTACGGGCTACTAAGAAGAAGGCGTGATCTTGTATTTCGACATTTCTCTCTTTTGAACTGCGACTAAAATGTCAACTCTTAACCCTATACTATTCAAAATTATATTTATTTTTAATATAAATTTTCAATTGTGAGCTGTGCGACTGATTTTAAATACATGATAAAATAAAAAGGAATTACGGGCGGTATGTTGTGTTTGTGAGCAAGGACAACAAACTTGTGCGTTATTGTAAAACTCCGAAGTATCAATGCTTCATTAGGAGACTCTCTCGTGTGCGCGAAGACCATTTTAGTGCCAGTGACTTTATTTGTTGCCCATCGCAGCCGGGTATTTCTAAGCGGACGCGTTTGTTCCCAGGTGCAGGAATTATTATACCGAATATGAAGACAAAATCTGCCACTCATATACATACATCGATAGACCAAACTTCAAATGGTGGTCTAATAAAACCTAAACCGGAATTCGTTGTTGACATAAAGAAACTGAAATTAATTTTTAATAAATTTAATGGAAAGGAAATTTCGAATTGCAAAAAATTAATAGCTTAATTATTGAAGTTAAGTTCTCATGTAAATTTAGAATAATCAAACCTTTTTTTAAATGTCTAATATACTTTAAAATTAAGTATTTGAATAAAAAAGTAAATGCTTAAAAATATTGGGCTAGTAAAAGCAAGAAAATTGCCAAAATGGATTTATAAATAAGTGTGCTTCACTTAGTATGTAATTTTGTGTAAGTATGCATTTCCACGTTTACATTAAAACGAAAGTGCAATACCTAAAATTAAGCTGATTCTAATGAGATTTTAAAAATTTTCATGTATAAAAAAACTTTCATTTCAAAGATATTAGCCCGCAGTTATAGTCAAAATAAAGTCGACTCTTAAGATAAAAGCCGCTTCTTTTGACAGATATCCCATTGAAAGTTATGTCAATAAGCTGCTTTTAACTTTAGGAGTCGACTTTATTTTGACTATAGCTGCGGGCCGTTGTGTTTTATCAAATATGGTA